GGCCACCCCCTCCCCCTTGTCAAATATTGGGGGGATATATCCCCCATCCCCCCCCCCCGGGATCTACGCCTATGGTGACCTTTGCTCAATGGTTTTTTTTAACATGAAATTAAAATATCTATGTAACGCTTTAGTCTATTGAAATGATTGTGGTGTCAATTTATGTGCTCTATTACAAATTTTGCCATAAAACCTAATGCTTACTGAGAAATTCTTTAAAATCATGTTTTTGGGCAAATTAAATATATGGAAGTCATATTTTTGCTTTTAGATCAGATATTTAGGTCTTGACATTGTATATTAAAATATTTCCCTTAAAATATTTAAGAAAAATGCAAAATTTACACCATCATTGCCTTCTTCCATAAAACACCATCCATAATTATGGAGAATGATAAATGATGATAACTTATGCCGATGGATGGTGACAAAAATGATGGTGACGATAATACTGTAGAACATTATTATGCTGACGTAGGACAATGATGATGGATGATGCTGGTGGTAGTGGGTTACGATGATACTGAATTAAGCCGATAATGATGATGCTGATAGATGGTGACGATATTGAATGATAATGGATTGGATTTAATTGATGATGGTAGTGAATAATAGAAATTATAATGCTGACGGAAGACAATGATGATGGATGATGCTGGTGGTAGTGGGTTACGATGATACTGAATTAAGCCGATAATGATGATGCTGATTGCAATGCTGATAGAAGGTGACAACATTGAATGATAATGGATTGGATTTGATTGATGATGGTAGTGAATAATAGAAATTATAATGCTGACGGAGGACAATGATGATGAATGATGATGTTGGTAGTGGGTTACGATGATACTGAATTAAGCCGATAATGATGATGCTGATTGCAATGCTGATAGATGGTGACAATATTGAATGATAATGGATTGGATTTGATTGATGATGGTAGTGAATAATAGAAATTATAATGCTGACGGAGGACAATGATGATGAATGATGATGGTGGTAGTGGGTTACGATGATACTGAATTAAGCCGATAATGATGATGCTGATTGCAATGCTGATAGAAGGTGACAATATTGAATGATAATGGATTGGATTTGATTGACGATGGTAGTGAATAATAGAAATTATAATGCTGACGGAGGACAATGATGATGGTGATGAAAGATTACGATGATACTGAATTATTCCGATAATATGATGATGGTGATTGTAATGATGATGATAGAAAATGACAGTATTGAATGATGATGGATTGTATCTGATGGACGATGTAGTGGATGATCATGACAATGATAATTACATGGATAGGTCCATGATGATACAGTAAAAAAGTGATGATTATGATGAAAATGCTATTGAAGTTGTGGAATGATAATAGGGAGAATAATGATGGAGGATGATGATGGTAATATTTATGATGATTATATGATGATGATAAGGTGACGGAAATGACAATGATGATATGATAAAGGATGACAATCTTGATAGTAGGCTACCATAATGGGGAACGATGATGATAGTGATAATAGAAAATTACTACGCTGATAGAAAACGATAAGGGGAGATGGTGATGCCGTAGGATGACGATGATGCTGCAGGATGACAATGATGATGACAGTGATTAGGATAATAATGGAATATGACGATATAGGATGATAATATATATGATTATAATCATTCTAAAAACATGAAAGTTAAAGAATGAAAATTATGGTGGTGTCTGATAATCGGGATGAAAATTGTTGACGATGATTTAGGAAAGAAGATGAAGACGACGATGATATATTACCATTCAATATAGTCATCTTCTATCAACACTACATCATTATTATCGGTATAATCCAGTATCATCGTAATCCTCCATCACCATCATCATCCGCCATAATTTCCTCCTCCATCATCATAATTTTCTATTATCGTCACCACCATTTTTGTCACCATCCGTCGTCATAAGTTACCATCATTTATAATTCTTCATAATTATGGATGATGATTTATGGAAGAAGATGGTGTATTTTATTCTCTTTTTTTTTTTGCATTTTTCTAAAAATATTTGAAGGAAAATATTTCAATATACAACTATGTAAAGACTTAAATATCTGACCTAACAAACTCTATTTTGCAGATATATGGCTTCTTCATATTTAATTTGCCTAAAAACATAAATTTAAAGATTTTCTCAGTAAGAACTAGGTTTTATGGTAAATTTTGTATTAGAGCAAATAAATTGACACCAAAATCATTTCAATATACCAAAGCGTTAGTGAGATATATCAATATCATTATTTTTTTCAATAAAATACATACAAACTAAGGTCAAAGGTCACATAGGTCAAATCAGATTTCCAGTAACTTGGATTTTGTGGCAAAATGTGTACTAGAGCAAATAAATTCACTACAATATACCGAAGCGTTGCAGATATGGCAATTTCATTTTTTTCAATAAAAAAACATTGAAATTGAGGTCAGAGGTCACAGAGCTTAAAATATTCATGTTGAAATAAATTGCATTCTAAAAGTCTACTCAGTTTCCTGTTCTCTTTCTATATTATATATA